GGTTATACTAAAATAGATCAAACACAAAACAAAAGTGTCTCAAATAGGAATTAGTATCTCCCCAGTTTGATGAACAACTTAAAGAAATGAATAAAAACTAATAAAAGAGTTGAGAAATTAGTAACCTATTTTAAAAGTACAAGGTCCCTTCAGAATTTTAATTGGTATCAGTATTGTATAGCAGATAATTAAATCAAATGTAATGAAACTAAATTATTTTATATGAAATCAATGTTAAATTTCCTAATTTAATTGATTATTTATGATTTCCAAGCCTTGCTTAATTGCATAAAAAAAGTGACAGAAAAATATTTTATTGAAAAAGAAATGGTTCATTTGCTATAATGGAATTTCAGTGTTTCAGTTAAGAATATGAGATTACAATGCAAGTTCTCTTCAGTTTGGACTTCTGATCCATTTCCTTCTCCAAACAAGTGTTAAGGAATAGTTTAAAAATTAATCAAATCTTGTTTGCAGTTTTAAAGAAAGCGAAAGGAGTTTTTATCCCTCTTTGAAACTCTTCACTCTCAAACTATTTAGAATGTGTCAAGGTAAAAAAGGGAGAAATGTTTAGTTAAATCTGTGTCAAAATAGTCTTCTATTACAAATTTCTTTAATAGGAAATAAATAGTATTATAGTATATGTATCATACTTATTATCAGCATTGATTCGCTTTTACATAAATTAAAATGTCATTCATATTTTATGATGCTAGTAATAAAAACAGCTCTAATTATAATTGTTTATTCATCATTGAAATGAGCTTATTTCTTCAAAGCATTGCATACTGTTTCAAAGTAAACTTTCACAAAGCCAGCAGTTAAGATTAACTGATGCACTCTTCTTATATTTATATATATCCCCTAATAATTTGAATACAATTGTCTGGGACTAATGGTATTCTTTTAAGTGGGGTTGACTGTATTTGTAATTTTGAAATTCCTATTATCATAGGTTTATTAGTGTTAAAACTTGTAAATCATCTCTAACAGTTGCTTAAGATTGTACAAAAAAAGATGTCTGTCATCCTCCTACTTAAAAATATTCTTATGAAAAAATTTTGATTATAACATGTTGTAAATTTTGAAATTACTGCTCTATATAACCACCTCTCTTTTCATTGGTTTTTTTTTTCAATTCTTTAACTACTCTTAAATGATAAAATTTTCCCCCATTTCTTCTTCAAATTCATTAAATTAGGTGCGCACATTCATTAAATTTACCCTTAGAAATTTCAAGTTGAGACCATAAATGTTTAACTAGATGCATTCAGATTTAATCAGATTCAAATCTGATGATTGTGGTAGCCTTTTCATAACCTTTACTTTCTCTATAAGTAACCAACATTTCATTAACTTGCAGATTTGCTTAGAATCTGCATCTTATTGAAATTTAAGTTTGGTTTAGACCCATTTTTATCTTGCTTACATTACTTAATAGACATTTTCTGTAATTTTCTACCTATAATTTCATATGTGCCAAAACAGTGTCATGATATGCAAACTAATATCTCCATATGTAACTGTAGGATTAATATATGTTTTGCGATTTGAAGTTTGCTTATTTTTCTCTGTAGTCAGTGTGAAAAATCAAATCAAAATAAATTTATTTTGGATTCTGTTAGTAAAACTTCATGTTTGTTGCTTTGCTGCCAGAAAATATATGTTACACAACAAACTTCAATTTGTATCTTTAGCATGAAATTACTGAATCAAATTTCTTGAAATACTTTCTCTTTATGATATATAAAAAAAAAGTTACTAATTTAAGTAGTGATTTTAATTTTGTTGTTTACTTATTGTTATTAATTACTTAAACTAATTATTACAACGTATTTCATTCTCTTAACCCTTTCTAAGGCCGTGGTAATCATATTTACCACCACTGTAACTTTAGTATGCCATTTGTTATTAATTTCTACTTTGATGAAATATTATTGAACAAAATTGGTTACAACATGCCTGTTTTTAAGAAATTTAAAATAAGTTATAGTATATAATTTCTTTTTCAGTTTGGAGTAATTATAAAATTTATTTTACGAATGAAAAGAAATGAAAGTCATTAAGTTTCTTTTTTATAACACCTGTCGGGTTGTAATAAACCTTATTTACCACAAAAAAATGTTGTTAAAATTCAAATTAATTTTATCAACTTATCTAAAGGAATTTTTTCATCAAAATTCAAAAAGAATTTTAATGTACCCTTATTAGAAATAAATGGTCCATTAAAGGGTTAATATTCAATTGCAATTATGTTAGTTCCATGTTATTTTTATTTAAAAAAAAAGGTTATAATTATTTTTTCCTTTTTAAACTGTTCATGTATAAATGAGTGTCATCATTTATTACATGTGTTCATAAAACAGGACATGACACGTTCAGTAAGAAGATCTAAGCAGTTTATTTTTTATGTGAAATTAATCTAAAAATTATGTTCATACTGTTGCATTTTGAACTATAGAATGTTGTGGATAAAGTAAATTGAATGTTCTCTTATTGAAGAGATAAGTAAATGGATGAAGAAAAAGAATGTTACAATGATTTACATGACTTGAAAGAGTATCATGTAATTTATATGGGCCATTCTTATAAAAACAGTCATTTTAAGTTTAGTAAATCCAGAAAATTAAAAGGTTTGAAACTTCATATTCGTAGGTGTATATAGTGACTTATAAGAAAATATATATCCTATTTTTCCGAATATTTAAACAAGTTACTTAATTCAAATAATGAGAAAATGATGTTTTATTTGTATTGAATTTAATTTTTCAAATTACTGCTTTTTCCTATATATTTATAATCTATATTATGAATACACTAATTTTAGTTCTAATTTTTATGGGTTTGTGAAATAGAATTTGTACATGTTTTGTTAGATTTGAATGTGGCATTATTATAATTTCCAATTATATTTTTTATTGGAAATAAGAAAAGCTGAAACAGAAAAATAATATTTTAAACATTAGAAACTGATCTTTTGAATAATATACACTTTAAAATAATTCCTTTTTCTTGGCACCATTTCCTCATTTTATGTATAAATTAGTAAAGGAATGATAAATTTATTTTAATTTTAAAACAGCAGTTAGGTTTAATTGATTCCCACAATCAAACTGATACAAATTTATTCATGCAAGAAAGCTAACTATAAGTATCCACTTTCTCAATAACACTTTATTTTAAAAAAGGCATGAATGTGAAGATTGTCGAACGTGTTATCTAGTTTAATCCATTTAACTTTTTAATAATTTCTTAAGTAAAAATTTAAAACACGTTGCTAGTTATAAATCATTAAAGTTTTTATTAAAATATTTTATTCTCTGGTGATTTAGAAAGTTAAATATAGCGTTATGAAGCATACTACAGTATACTACATGCAACAACAAGACTTTAAAATAGTGCTATGGCAATATTTTTATCTGAAATTAAAAAAAAAAATAATTTTCTAAGTTTCGTATTTCAATATTCTGTAATAAAAGAAATACAAATTTGTAAATTAATTTCCTTTATTTTTAAAAATATTTTCTCTTTTTTTTTCAAATAAATAAATAAATAAAGATTAACAGTGGGGACAAATGAAGGAATGATATTTTGGTATATTTTAGTTAAAATAAAATAAATCTTTGTTAAACTGCACTCTGAAATACATTTTTCCTAAAAACAAGTATACCTAAGTCATAAAACAAGTATAAAGTATATTCAGGATGAGAAAATGAATTTTTGTGGGAATGATCTATATATATATTGTACATATTAACTTTCCAAGCGTTGAGATTCTTCCCATTCAATAATATGGAGAAACAAATTTTTTAAGCATAAAGTATATTCTGGATGCGAAAGTGAATTTTTATGTGAATGACCCATATGTATTTTTCATCTATATGCATATATCTATTAACTCTCCAAGCGTTGAGATTCTTTCCATTCAATAACATGATGAAACTTTTTTTTTGATGCAGCAAAGCGTACATCTAAAAGTTTGGAAAAAGTTGGGACTAACTTTCAGAGAGTTAATTAAACATCTACAGTGTTACTGACATTGTTGTAAAAAAGGAGTAAATCATGTCTTCTTTTTAAAAGTTGTAAACTCCAAACCTTTTGATAATATTTTTAAAAAAAATCATATTTAGACTCCTCAGTTATCTATTTATTCACTATTTAATTATTTAAATATTTTCAGAACTGTGCATTTTGATAATTTTAAATAAATTTTCTTTGAAAATTATTTCACTTCTCTTATTCTACTTACTCAAAATTGAAAAGAAAATGTACTAGTTAAAAAGTATTTTTTAATTTCTGTTAAAATTATGTAATTCTTTTTTTAACTTTGATATTTATAAATGCTTCAATGAAAAAAAATCAAATGCTAGTTTGAATATCGGATGAAGCTTGGGAACATTTTGAATAATTGTTTTCCAAACCCTCTTGATTCCCTATAGTAGTGAAACAGGTTTTGATGTTTTCAATTCCACCTTCCCCAGTAGTGATTCAGTAATTTAGAATAACGTTTTCGTTTTTTCCTCGACTTAGATGTAAATTTATAACCGTTACCATCTCTACTTTTTTACCTTTATTTTTGATAAGGGTTCTAAAAATATGTATATGAGGCAGTCAATACGGAACACCAAATTTATGTTTAGATTAAAAATCATAGTAGAATCACTTTAAATTAGATATGTATGAGAAGAGTTAAGTATTAAAGCCAGTTTCGTCACCACTATATCAATTTTCCGACAAAGCGGAACAAGTTGACAGTTCTGACTAGTTGTCAAACTACTTTTGCACTTTGGCAACCTTTATTAAAAATTCCCAGCACAGCACAACTTTTCCATTGGATGAAATAGGAAAAAACTGATATTGTGTGTGGAAAAGCAATCTGGAGGTTATGCCCAGTTAAAAGAGCTGTATTAGTTAAAATTCAATTTTGTAAAATTCTTTTTTTTCAATTCCCATTAACTCTGAGAAGTTACTGATAAACTTACACAATTTACTCAAAAAGGTACAGAAGTAAAATTCTTTTATAGGGATTTAAATGAAGGAAATTAAGTTCAACATACAGCATACAGAAAAGATTAAACAATGACAAATAATCACATCATGATCACTAACAATGTGGTTGTAACAGTAACTTTTGAAAGAATAACATACATAACAACAATACAATTTACATTTTACATAACTTGGCACCTAAATCTTAATTAAAGTTCTTATTTTGACTTTAAATATTTTCATTTGTCAGTGTATTTTAATTTTTTTTACAAAATATTAGGAATTTTTAAAGTTAGCTCAATCACAGTATTTGTATGCAACTACTTCTGATTTCACAGAGGAGCACACTTTCGAACAAATAAATATTCACTGAATTGTTGTCCTTCAACACCACCACCATTTGATGCAAGTATTCTAAAACTACTGTTTAAAAGTCTAACAATAGTTTGGAGAGAGTTTAGTTTGCAATAACCATTTAGAGGAAATCGAATTACATGTTTTGAGTCTTGATTCCAAGCTACACTACTTCGAGCGTCCATGAGTGGTTGACCTATTTCTGGAAAAACTTCTTCCACTAAAGCTCGATCTCCACTAATAACAATCCTTTCACCTAAGTCAGGGCTGACATTCAGTGCAAGGCACTGAAATTCTCCAGGACAATCATATCCAGGACTACTACTGCACTCATTTTGTATGTTATTCTGATTTTCATATTTCCGCCCATTCCGTGATTGGGTTGGTGAAGAACATGAGTCCATCTTTCTTTTGCTACGTTCTCGCTTTAATTGTTCGATTTGCCGTAACATGGCTGGAATGTCATAAAACCTAGCTTCTTCATAAAGTAAGTCTAGTTCATTAAAATCATCTGGAAGAGACAAATTGTTCGTTCTCATAAAATTTAGTATGTGGCGAAACATTTTACCATCTCGGTCAATAAAGTAATGTTGTTTGAGACTGTCTAATACGATTGGTATGCTTCCATTAAACATTCTTGCTAGACGAGAGTCTGGGTGTCTGAAAGAGAAATATTTAATTATTGTATTTAGTCTGATGTAGAGAAGGACACCTCAATCACCCTTTTATAATAGTTAGTGGAAATCAATTTTCATGTGCATTTTAAAAAACAATTTTATTGATAATTTAAACTTCATGATTTATTCTTTAAAAATTGTATTTTCTTTTTCAATTTACTTTGAGTTTTAAATTCTATAATTTTTATAAAGTCAGAATCATTTTTTAGGAAAGTTGCTTTTCGCAAAATTGAAAAAGAAAAATAGTGAAATATCAAAAAGTAAATCATGAAGTTTCTAATGATTGAAAATTTTTTAAAATAAAAAAGAAGATTCTTAAATTATTTCCACAACATTACTTATGAAGGTGATTGAAGCGAACCAATAAAATAATGAATTTTTGAATAGTAAAACAGTTCTATATTTTTGTTTTCTAGGGACATCAATATTAAAATGTGTTATCCATGTTAAAAACAAAATGATTTTGAATTTTATTTTTTTTCCTTCGCAATATTATATTTATATCATCACTGCCAATTCTTCCAGATTTTCCGCAAGATATTAATTTTTTACTTAATGAGATAGTAAAAATTTAGCTTTTTTCGAGCAAATTGGGATACATTCACTCATCACATAACAGGCCAAACACAAAGAGAGACCCCCATGCTCCGAACGGCATTCGAACCCGTGACCATTGGCTTCGCCGTCAAGCAATCTAACCCCTCGCTCACCTGGCCAGCTTGCTAAAAACATTTTTTTTCCAATGCCCACCCTGAGAATGACCTAGGTCATACAGGCATCTGAAGAGCAGATTTGATTTGTTGGTCACTCTTTCAGGGGCACCATATTAGGTAGGCCAACGTTGCTCCCACCGTAAGGTCAGATAGTACAGAGAAGGAAATAACCTTTCTGATGCAAGGGCAGTTCCCTAACCCCTACGCAGGCTGGTCCGCCTTGCTAAAAACATAAAGCTTGTGAATCTTCTCTTAGAATGCAAGACGTAAAGTGCAATCTTAATGGTTCAAGGAGTTAACTATAAATATATTAATTTTTTAGTGCCGATATTTTAAGATGTGTTATAAGATACAGAAACATACTTTCTCTGATCAAAAGTATTTTTCGTTCGAAGGATTCAACTTTTAAGGTAAGGGAGTAGCAACAATTTGGAATATAAGAGCAACAATTTGGATAATTAATAGTTTGAAGGTGTCTCTCTGGCCGAACGTTATCGCCTGCCAAATGCTGTACAAAGCGTGGAGGTAGGGGGTTCAAATCTCGTCGTTACCCTGGATGTATCATCGTGCTGTATTTCTCTGTGTTGTGCTATCTGTCATTCTATTGACAAAGGTTTATAAGCCTAAATTGAGCACACAAGCCTGTAAATGTTTGTAAGTCCAATAAATCAATAGAGTGGCCGCACATTTGATTAATGTTAATTTTACTATTTATGCATCATTTCTCTGAAACTTCTAGCTACTCTAAACAGTTTTGCAGGTGATTATAGATTTCGTGAAATATAGCATCGTCGGTGAACTTTTTCTTATTTTGACAGATCTGAAAATACTTGTTTGAGAAAATAGACATTGCGCGTTTAAAAGAAATGGGATATTGCTCAAGATGTACATTTAGGAAAGTGAACAAAGCTATTTAAATAGCAAACATAGCATTTATTCCGTTTTTTTAACTATTGTTCATTTGTATTCAAAAGAATTATAGAATCCAAATAAAATCATATTGCATAAATCGATTTGTAAATCTTTTAAGTTTTTTTTGCAACAGACTTTAAAGAAAAAAATTCCTTTCAGGCCTTTTTTTCTCTGGTAACATAGAAATGGTGCATTTTGAACTATGTTCAGTTTCTTTAATGCTCATTCCGAGCTATGTTCAGTTTCTAAACGCGCATTTTGAGATTTTTTTCTTTATCAATTGAGCATTCCAAGCTATGACTATTTCCTTACAAGCGCATATTTCAATGAGCAATGTTTAAAATACCAAGTTCACTAAAGGCGTACAAAATATGATTTCTTGAGATCATTTTTAATAATGATTGAAATAAAAATTTTAATTGCAAGGTTTACAGATTTTTGCATTAAACTATATAATTTTCAATGAAATAATTAATTAACGAAATTTTTCAAATTATTTTGAATGATAATATTTCAAAAATTTTTTACTTTTTAATTACCGTTTCTCAAGAACAGTCGCGACCGATTCGGCGCAAATTTAGTGATTCTGCACAATCTTATCACTAAAATTTACACAGTTTGAAATCCGAAAAATATTCCTACTGCCTTGCGATTGCAAATTTTCCGCGTGTCCCGCAGTGGACAGATCGTTAAGACACGGTTCCCAGCAGATCACCGAAGTCAAGCTTCACTGGCTACTGTCAGTGTGCGGGTGGGTGACCACTTGGATCAGTCTGCGTAGTTACCGAGGGTGTGCGGTATTGGTCCTCGTTAAACTGTGCTACCGTAAAGTGCTCGACTTCGCGCGCAGGTCGTCGGGCGGGGGTGCCATCCCCTCCGTAGAGGATCAAAATTGTGATGGCATGTCTTCAGATCATCCTCCGGGATGTTTCCCAGACCGTCGCCAATAGCCCATTGTGCAGCTCTAGTACGACGTAAATTAACAACAGCAAATTTTCCGCTCATTATCAAATTAATTAAGTAATAGAAAATAATTAACCTAAAATTATATTTTGCTTGGAATTATCATTCGATAATTGTATTTCATAATTTTGTGCGAAAAAGGAAATACTTCAAGGGGATTTAATTTTCAACTGCTTTCCTGACTAAATTATAGTTGTAGTTCATTTACGTCGCACTAGAACTGCACAATGGGCTATTGGCGACGGTCTGGGAAACATCCCTGAGGATGATCCGAAGACGCCATCGCAATTTTGATCCTCTTCAGAGGGGATGGTTCCCCTGCTTTCGTAGCCCAACGACCTGCACGCGAAGTCGAGTACTTTACGGTAGAACAGTTTAACGAGGACCAATACCGCACACCCTCGGTCCCTACGTAGACTAATCCAAGTGGTCACCCACTCGCACACTGACCGCAGCCAGTGATGCTTGACTTCGGTGATCTGATGGGAACCGTGTCTTAACGATCAGTCCACTGCGGGACACTAAATTATAGGAACCGCATTTTTCAGATTGCGACTACTCTCCCTGTCTTTCCCCCATAGTGTATTAAAAATTTTAATTTTTCGGGAGGGGTCTGTGAAAGTATGTTTAGGCACACGAAGCACGTTTTTCTGTCGTAATTCGTAAATAAAAACCTCGCTTTTGTGTCTTTTAAAATTTGGTTTGCACATATTAAAAGTCATACCATTGAACTTTTACGATTGCATCTTTAGTACGTGAAAATCTGATCTTTAGATCAAAAGCTCCGTTTTTTAAACTGAATCTACTTATCCAATCTGATAAGCAAAATAGTCTTATTTATTTTTTTAGATGTAATAACTTAAAATTATCGATATCTACTTTGGACGTAGTGCTAGTTCAAATTACCGATACAATAGTCGTTAAAAAAATGTCTGAACATATCACTTATTGAAAAAATTCTACTTAACGCTAAGAATAAGAAAGAAACTAACATGGGTTGTAGTGCTGAACGATATCCGAATTTTGATATTGCAATAGATAATCGGAGAATATCGATATTTTCTCAATTTAACTTATTTAAACTATTATTTTTACAGTTATCATCTAGATATTTTCATTACCCAAATAAAATTTAGTAGCGTATTTTTCGTTAATTTTTTGTATTCTATAATTATATTTATGAAATGGCGATAATGATCATATATCCTATTTATAATGCAATTTTTTCTTTTAAGTGAAGATACTCTTAACTTTTTTTTTTTCAAGTGTTGCTTTAAGAAGAAAAAAATACATAAATTTCTTTTAATAACGTTTTCATACAATATACATTAAAGACTCCAAATAATTCCATTCCCTCTGAGAGGAAATTAATTTGTGAAATATTTACTACAGTTAGGCTCATTTATTTAAATAACACACCCACTTCTGAAGACTTGAGTCTAGAGAAAAATTCATGTGCCGGTATTGTAATACCTATTGGCTTAAACCGGATCGCAACTGTGGGAGATTATGTGATTGCTTAAGGTAAAAAGTTAATTAAGTGTTCAAATCTATAAACATTTTAGATTTCGTGCTTCTTTTTGATTTAGTCATTTAGAGTCTGCAGGGGTTAGATAGAAAGCGAGTTCAGACAGATATTGTGTAATTCAATTGGTATGCGTGGGAGAATACGAAGTTTCATTCTCCTAAGTATTTTTTTATAATGAGGACTGACTCAATTATTTAGTCAATTACTGAAAAAGATTATTCAATATGGTCTGCTGCAGAAACATTACCTGGATCCTAAAGATTATATTAAAATTTTATATTGGCATTAAAGGAAAAAACACATCAATTCATATTTTCTTTAAATGCTCGTAAATTATATTTTATTTTATAACCGGCATTGAACAGCCGACCCAATTCTGAGTTTACGGCTATCAATGTTCAACTCCGTAGCCTTGTAATTTTGAACCCAATCCAGAAGACAAAGGAACTCCTGGATCAAGCATTCATACAAACTAGCCTTCGTGGAAAACCTTTTGATGGAACTAACCCGCATTTGCGAGAGGAAAATCACGAAAACCTCCCACGGTTATCCTGACTGCAAGGGGATTCCAAACTATGATCCGTCCACCACTAAGAGTATTTACGTCAGAAGTGTGGTCGGAGTGAGTTGAGAGCAGAACCAGCCACTGTAGGAATTCGAACCTGGATCATCTCATTGGGAGGCGAACGCACTATCTCCTGAGCCACAACATGTAGACTATATTTTGAAATGCTTTAGTTTCTGTAACGATATAACTGCTATAAGTTTGTAACAGTTATTCGATGACTGTTTAGGTTAAGTTTGAGGCAGCGCCTTCTACACTAATTATGTAAATGATATATCTATAAGTCAAAAAACTACTTATACTACTTTTATATATTTTTTTTTAATTGGAACAATTTCTTGGGAAGAAAAAAGTTTATTGAGGATTGAATAAGATAAAAATAATACACTGTGAAATAAATTTTAACAAATTTCCATCAGTTGCTGATGAATTCGATCTAGTTAAGTGCGTTCGTATGGAATTTGCTATTTTTTTTTTTTCAATTAGCTTTTGATAGGAAAGCATAGTTAAAAATATATTTAACTAGGTTATAAATTCTTCAGTTTATGAAGCTTATCTACAAAACCATAACATCCACTTAACATTTACATCCAAATCTATAATTTAACACTGCGCAGACAAGCATTTTTTCAGCAATGGTAAATAAGCAAGTAAATTAAAAAAAGAAGAAAAAACAGTAAGTTGATAATAAACACAGTAAAAAGAATAACAGAAAAGGTTATAATTACTTAGTAAGAGTTTCCAACGAAGAAGTATAAATTGATCCACCCACATCAATATGGACTGGAGCAGTGTATCTCGATGCGGCAGCTACGCACGGTATTCCAGAAATTTTATGATTGTAATTTGATTCGGACATCAACAGTTTTTGATCCATAAGAGCTCTGAAAGAGAAAACAAAAAATTATGTATTTAATTATTGGAAAATAAGAAAAATAATACGATTTAAGGCTTATTAAATTTAACACGAGAACGACAATTAGATAAAAAAAAAATGTCACATTTCTAATTTCAGGACCTGTCTACTAAATTGGAGCATCTTCATAAATTAGATACTCTAACATAATTTATCAATACTAATATTAAAATTATGTTAAAAATATTCTACGGTAATTAGTTAGAAATGTGTCATTCATCTTTTTCTCATGTTATTTCGCCGACATTATTACTTTTAACAATATTTTCTCCGAAATTATTAATCAATACCAATTTTAAAATTATGATACAAAATTTCTAAACCTCGGTATTTAATTACAAATGTGTCGTTCATATTTCTTCTAACATTATTTTTTCCGAGAATGTTTTCTCCGTCATTATTCAATATCAACTTTAAAATTACGTAAAAAATATCTAAACTACACTAATTTATTATAAATGTGTCACTCATGTTTATTTCTGATATTATTTCGCCGACATTATTTCTTCTGATAATATTTTCTTCAACATAATTTGTCGATACCAGTTTTAAAATTCGATTAAAAAATCTACGGTGCACTGTAAAAAATTCTGATTTATAGTTGTCACCATTTTCAGTGTTGAGGTCAACTAAATACATTTTTAAGTTCAGAACTGTAGTTATCGCTTGAAAAATAAAATAAAATTGACACAATATCAATTGTTTGAAAAAATAATATGAATATATTATTAAAAATGTGCTTGTTTTTTAAACGAAATGTTTTTGCAAGGAAGCCATTCAATTGATTCTAATGCGCCTGAAAACGTGTGTTGTTACTAAACAAACAAAATAAATGAAAAAACAAATATTAATAATCAAATAAATGAAACTATAACAGTGAATATGTAAATAAAAGATGTAACAACACCAAAAATGGTTGCAACTATACACCAAAATTTTTTACAGTGTAATTGGTTATAAGTATGTGTCGCTCATATTTTTTCTGACATGTTTTGTTAACATTAATAGTAGCACTCTGTTTACAAAAAAATATGGTAATTCGCAATAAATTATTCAATTGTAAGACAATAAACCTGCATGAAATGTGAATTAATTTTGAACAATTCTTAACTTCGGTACCATTTTGCAGCGCTTTGAATACATTATTAAAAATGTGCTTGTTTCTTAAACGAAACATTTTAGCTATGAAGCCATTAAATTGATTATAATGCGCATGAAAACAAGCGTTGTTACTAAACAAAAAATTAATAATCAAATAAATGAAACTGTAACAGGGAAAAAGTAAATAAAAAAATTTTCTATATGCACTATAGAAAATGTTAGTTTATCTCAACACCAAAAGGGGGGCAACTATGCACCAAATATTTTTACAGTGCAATTATTTATGTATTATGGATATGTCTCTCTCATATTTTTACCAGGGTTATTAGTAATAAATTGATTAATCTTTTGTGAGACAATAAACCTGAATTCTCAACTTCGGTACCATTTTGCAACTATTTGAGTCATTGAAAGAAAAAGTTTTTAAAAGCATACACAGAAGGATACCTTTAGGGCATCTACAGCTGCTCCAGGACTCAGGTGTGGCCCTGAGTAGAGCCCAAAGAATGTTGCAGGGATTCCTGAGGGTTGCCCTGCAGTAAAATGTTTCAGGGCAGCAAGGGCGTTGTTGCTTTTTCTGGGTTCTACACCTTCAGTCAGGTTTTGAGTGATCCCACTATTTTTCTTTACTTTTTATTTTAATCTGACCTGTTTGGTGCAGTTTCTCATATCTTTTATTACAAGTACGTTTCTACCTCCCTCAGTATTAAAATTTGCAATGACATAAAAATAACTGATGGATAATTTATACGTATTTGATGTGCTATATCAAATTAAGAGAAGCTGAAAGACTACATGTCATCAGTAAAATATAAACATTGAAATGTAAGGAAATAGTAAATTAAAGTTAATCTTATAAGCGTATTGTTTGCAAAAATTAAATATAAATAATATCTGATCTTTAAAGTTATATATTTTTAACTTTTTTTAAAATAATTTGGAAGTGTAATATTTCTTATATTTGAAACACTTCACATCAATTTCCATAAAAATAATCAATTTCCATAAAAATAAACAAAGGAAATATTATAAGTAAAAAAAGCAACTATAATTGCTAAAGCTGGGATTTCGATTAGCTAAAAAAAAAAAAAAAAATTTGATATGCTCTTAAAATAGCAACGAAAAATGCCCTTAAAGTTTAATAAAGAAAACCTGCCTGCATACTAAAATTTTTAAAGTTGAAAAAAAAATTTTCTTCAAAATTTCATATAACATAAAATGCATTAAGACATGCATTCATCTCTTCCAATAAACTAAACAACAGCAGATCGTTTTTCAGCTGCAACTTTTGTTTCACATAGTTCATAATATAAAAATCACTTCATCTGTAGAAAAGACTTTTGCACCGAACTCAAAAACAAATTTCAACAAATGGCAAGAATTAAATGTTACTGATTTAGATAAATTTTTTTAAAAAAAAAACGCATGTACTTTTCCGTCAATAATTTTCCGCTGAATCAACTGAAGTTCTTTCAACTTAATCGTGACGAACAGTTTAAAGAAGGCTCTTTCAATGCTGGACAATGGCCAATTTTACCCCAGAAAACTGCTATGCACTAAAATGTATAATTCAGTTCAAATGTATGAAAGTTATTTAAAACAGAAAGCAGTTTTGAAAAAAAAAAACTTCACAAAATGTCCTAAAATTGAAGAAAAAAAATGCTCTAAAAAATTTCAAAAATGCTTTTACAATGTAAAAAAAGTTCTTAAAGGAGCAAAAGAGTACAAGAACGTAAATGTCATCAAAATTCGAGCTTTAATTAATATCTATGAATTAAATTTTGAGCCTTCTAAAAATATTTGGTAAAACTACGAGTATTATAATCTACTTAACAATTCTGCATATTTTAAATTGAGTGATTGTGTGGCACTAAAAATTCGGATAAACGAAAATCTTCGGATTAAACTAAGTCTCGGGAAAATCGGTTCAGGGTTGAACCCATCATATTATGTAAACGTACTGTTTAAACCATATTTCGTTGAAGTTAAGGTGCGCATATTATCGTGTAATTCATAAAATTAGTAAAAAAAGTTCAAGTAAATATAATTTTCACATTAGTAGGGTTCAACTTGCATCGGATTAACTGCAGCAAATTTGAATTTTATTATCGTTCATCGAGCGTACAACAAAGCTATCAAAACATGTAACCTGCATATATTTTATCATGTTTAAACACACCTCCTAAATTTAAAATTGAAACAATTTGAAAATACAAAAATATTTAAAAAAATATTTATCATTGATTAAAAAAAAATGAAAAACACTTGTCCAGTATGATCCTTTGATCAAAATACTAATTGCATTTACTGTACACTGTTAACAATTTGGAACGCATTGAATTGTAATTACTTCAAAATTCGCTGCAACGTTAATACGGTGTCAATTTGAACCACATAATATTGTCAAATAAATTGTCTTAAACTTTATTACGCGATGCTATATCCACAACACTTAAACAGAAACATGGTACAACATAGCACCTTATTAAGGTTGGAGCAAATTTAAACAATTTTGTACCAATATTATGGTTCAATGTCACATCGATGTTTTCGAGATATTCCAATACTTACACAAAGATTTTTCTCAGAGCCAGACCAGAAAAATAAGACATGAAATTAATTTGTGACATCATTTGAGAATTTTGCTTCGTGATAGAAAAATATGATATATTTGACAGAATCTGTTAAAAGCAGTAAATATTAACTAATTTTTTTAAGGGAAAAAATGGTTTAAAGCAATTTAAAGTTAAAGCTTTGATGAAATTATTCGCTGAAATAATATAATACACATTTTACTCCAATTAAAGTGTTTCATTCATCCAAAGGATTCTGAAATTTTTTTACAGCTTCGAATTGTTTTATCCAACGTTTTACTTACAAAATAAACAAAATACTTTTGTTAACAGAAAATTGCAATAAAGATGTTACTTTCATTATGTTTGTTGGGCTGGGCTTTATAGACGGTATTTAAATGTTACACCATTTCCTAACATCATAAAATTCCCATCTTTTGTTCAGTCTAATGTATATGAATCCTAGTTCCTGTCTTTTCTTTTGTATTTAAAAGAATCGCCCAATATGTTTCCTCAACAAAATAATCTTTATGTTGCTAATAGACAAGTTGGTGTCGCCCGAGTTCAACTAAAATGAATTGTTATTTGTGTAGCTCCTTTAAGTAAACAGTCAAAAAGTCTCTAGTACTTGCAAGATTGGATTCATTCTCGTGATGACTATAAACTTAGAAAGTTTGAAGGTGTGTTTTCTCAATTTACTTTTTAAACAAAAGCCATTCAAATGCAGGCCATCTGAATAGTTATTAACCGGTTTAGTAGAAAAGGAAATGGAATGAAATCAGCTCATCACTACAACGTGATTTTTTTTTCTTTTGAATTTCTTATTTTTTTCATGAACTTTGTTGATAGAGTGAATCGAATACGCCCTGAGTAAATATTAACGACCCATCATGAGAACAATACCTTCTTCCGTGATGCTACTTATTTTTTTGTACTGTATTGCTTAGAAAATATTTGGAGTCCATTTTTGTGTCATGTATAAATATTAGATATGTTTTTAAGGCGTTTGGTTTAAAAACCAACTACTAAACTTAAATTTTCTTTTTTGAAAATCCTGTTCATACTTTTAAACTTCTTGAAAAATTATGCTCACGAGCAGCTTCTTGAATGATTCTGATTAAAAGTTAGTATTTTTAATTATTATATTTAAAAAATGAAATAAATGCTTAAAAAAAAGAAGAAAAAAAAAACTTTAACAAGTACTATTGATTTTTCTTTAAAAAAAAGAAAGAATCTGGAATCATATAGTTCTTTCAAAGAAAGAACGAAATAAAGAAAGAATTTAATTTAGAAA